TAACTGGAGACCTAACCCTGAGACCACCTAAAATTTAGATCCTAAAGGTGGTCTGGAATTGGAAGACGAACTGTATAAACAAATTGATAAATAATAACAGTGCTTGAAACAACAAGGAATAAGTTGTCAATGTGCAGGGATTTTTATTCATCTATTTGTTTATGCATAATGTCAGTGGTGTAGCGGAAAGGGTATTCAAGTAATAGTCTAAAAAAAAAAAAAACAGGTTTTATACTCTTCATAATAGGACAGAGTAGGCAGACCACACCAAGCTAAGTTGGCTAGCAATGAGGTATGTAAAACTTTGTTGTTGCTTATTATTGATTTTATAGCAATGACGACCTACCTAATCCAATACCTTGTATTATTCAAACCAGCTGCGTATTGCCATTCTAAATCAATGTAAACCCTCATGCTCCACTTACTACCACTCTAGGTTTGCGTCGTTTGGTGGACTCACTGATGTCAAGACATATAAACACGGTAATTCAGATGTAGGTATGTTGCATGATGAAATGGTACGCTTGAGAAATAGCATTGTGGATAAAACAACGCGATTTAACCAATATACAGCGTTTAATACTGAGCTCGTACAAGAACCATTTTATTTATGTCGACAAATTGTATTACCATGCTTTATTTTAAGTTCCCATTATCTTAAAGTTGAGACAGGTAGATGGTCTCGAATAGAAAGGGATAAAAGAATATGCAAGGTGTAAAGAAGGTGTGCAAGATGAGCATTATATTTTATTTGTTTTTAAATTTACAGAGGAAGTTACAGCTCAAATTAGAAATACTTACCATAATGTTAATGAGGTCTTGTTTGGAACTGTTCTTCCACAACAATTAATGTCCCATATTGTTATAAAGGCAATGGAAATTTCCCAAATGTAAAAAAAAATAAAAAATGTATTTATTTATGTTATCGAGTTCTTATGTTGGACTTTGTGGTCAATAAAGAATAAAAATAATAATAGTATTACTAGGCCAACGTAGACCTTAGAAAATATTAACGCACAGAGAGAATGCAGTTGTACTGTACTTGTGTAAACTCTGGATCCGCCCCTAATGTGTAGCAGGTAGGGGATGCAAATAATAGTAACCAAATGACCTTACTGGACATGTAACGCTTGACGACCCCCACACCTGAAAACTGATAAATATTTTTTTCTTCTCCACTATGCAACTGATGATCATATCATATGCCCGATATGTTATTACATCATTTCCTAAATTTGAGCAATTTTTTTCTATCATTTACCAAATTGATTATATATATATATATATATATATATATATATATATATATATATGCACAAATACTCAAACAACATAAAAACATAAAATATATGAGGCTTGCCATCTCAAAACCAGCATTCGTGACCAAAAAAATGAAAATTGACCTTTTCATAATCTTCACACTGTAAGCTTTAAAATGATGGGTCTTTGACTGGAATTCACTTACTACAGCATTTCCAAAGTTAAGAGTAAAAGTATTATGCTTCTGTGGGCCTGTTCAAGCTAAAAAAATATCTATGCAATTTATTAGTTAATTCATTGGTACATAAACCGTTTGGACAATTATCCGCCACAATTTTGATCATCAAATTGCTGGGTAAAATATCTTGTATGAGATGACCATGGAGCCGGGGTAATAATAAATAAACCTTAATTGTTTTTTCAAATGTTTTGTCCACAGTCCTCGAACTTTCGACCACCCGCTGAACCAACCAGTGAATTAACCAGTGAATTATACGGAATATGGTTGGCGTTTTTCACTCAAATATATGTATTGTACAAAAGTATACAATACAGCCACATTCTTATGCCAATTACTCAGTTTAACAATTAGCGACAGTTTTGCTGGTTTTGGAATGGCAAATCTCATAATATGAGTAGGATTGTATATTTTTTTAAGTATACTTCTTGGTGCTTTTTCATATTTTAACATATGATTTAGACAAACTGCATCATCTAGAATTTATTCAAGGGAATTAAAGGCACTAAGTAACAAAAAAGGAAGCTATGCAAATTGATTGTTCAATAATACTGATGGATGACCATTGTTATTTCACAGTCCTTTTTTGTATAATGGTTGCTCACCAACTGATTTGATATTTGTATTAAAAAATATTTCTTGCTAAATATATAGTAGCGGGCATCATGACAAATGCTGTACCAGTCTCAACTCTGTTGATGTATTAACAGATAATCCTCCATCTGATCCGCTCATTTGGTCATCACTGTCACTGTTGTATCCAATCACATCAATGTCATCTAAATGAAAATATAAATGTACTGTAATTTAAAAAAAATTAATTTACAGAATTTTAGACAAAGACTTACTATTACTGTACCTGTGCAGTATACAAATACTGTATTAATTACTTATGAGGGGAACGGTGAAATCTATTTCCCTGAGGTGATGCAGAGACCTGTAGCCTACTTAATATCTTTCCTCGGGCTCTCCACATCACCAATGGGCTCTAAATTCCACCATTCCCTGAATCTAGAGCAGTCAATATTTGTTTCATATACCTCATATGATTATATAAGGCCTAAAAAAGTAATGAAAACAGTATCCACAGAGTAGGCCTAGGATAGGCATCCATTCACAGTACTCACTTATCCATACAATGTTTGTGCCACATTCAATTTCCTATGGGGACCAACCAGTATTTTTAACTTAAATTTCAAACCATTAATTCAAGGTCTTTTATTAAATAATAAAAATACATATAAATTTACAAACCAACAGCCAAAGGCTGTACTGTATATGTAACATTGTATAAAAAGTAATAAAATATGAATAAACACGAATAAAAAACACAAAGACAGAAAATGTGATAAAAATAACAGTAATAACTAGACTATGTCTGTTTGGAAAACAGAACATAGGGTTTTTTCTCATTGCCTCAATGAGAAGTGGTGTTGAAATTACAATACAAAATTAAAATTCATTAAAAAAAGTATAACTCAACACCTGTGATACTCAAACTAGGATTGCAATGTTAATAGCAAGGGTGAAGAGTTTTTACTATTATGCTCCATACAATGCTGAGGTCAGTTTATTTATTTTTACTTTGTCTACTTTGCGTAATGTTACGAGTCAAGGTTAGAAGTAAAATGGGATCTAGAAGAAAAAAAATCAGAACAAAAACAATAGAAGAAGAAACTGAGAATTTTAGACACAGGTCAATAAGGGCAATAAAACAAAATATAAAGTAAAAAAATAAAATTAACACATTTGTGGGACACGAACTATAGCTGCAATGTTAATAGGTTAATTCCATGTCAAATCAACCAAAAAAAAAGCATGTTTAACTGACCATAACTCGGTAAGTATAGCATAACTCGGTAAGTATAGCACCTAAGCTGATTTTAGATTGTGTCATTTTAAAGCTATTGAATATCGGTAGCTCTGTAACTTCTATTAAATAAAAAGTTCAAAGTTCTCTTCCAATTCTAATACAGTAATAATCTTTGAGACACACTATGATGTAAAGAAGCTCCCCAATAAATTAGGTAATGGGTGCTCTAAACTTCCTAAGCAGTGAGCAATTATATATGGCATGTCCATTTGAAATTTTCACTTTTTGTACATACTGTACTAACAGAGATAATACCATATTATTAGTAAAAGCAAACCAAACTCCTTTTTTTCAATTTAGGTTCTGAAGTCAAGTTACAATGTACAATAAAATAAAAAAGCTTTCCAACGAAGTTGGTGAAAGGCACCCTAAAGTTCCTGAGCAGTTTGATGTATGACATTTTGAAAAAAACAGCAACATTAAATAAAAGACATTGTAATTAAATCAGTATAAAGTAAAACTCTTACAATCATCTTACAAGATTTTTAAGAAACAACATTAATTTTCAATGCAATGATCAGTTTATACCATAAAACACTATCAGATGCATCATTGATAAAAATTATGGGATAAATCATTTATAATAAATTTCAAATCAATGTTTAAAATGTTGTTTTTGTTAAAAAGATATTGTAATTAAATCAGTATAAAGTAAAACTCTTACAATCATCTTACAAGATTTTTAAGAAACAACGTTAATTTTCAATGCAATGATCAGTTTATACCATAAAACACTATCAGATGCATCATTGATAAAAATTATGGGATAAATTATGGGATAAATCATTTATAATAAATTTCAAATCAATGTTTAAAATGTTGTTTTGTTAATGCAGCATGTTTCTTTTTCAGATTGAATCATGGGGTAATAATTTTTTAAGACCACTTATGAATGAGTAGAGTTTAAAACAGTTGGAATTTCCTTTTTCAAATTTCTTTTATAATTTAGAAAATAAATAAGGGGGCGGGGGCAGGCAGGCAGGCTGGGGCACCCTTGAATACATCACGATTTGAAATCAATACGGTAATCAATAATTACTCCTCTAAAAACCAAATTATTATTGAGGGGCCCGCTGGCCGTTTTATTCTCCAAAAATGTTAAGTTGGAAATTATTATAAATTTTTATTTTTTAGGACTATTTATTAATGGGCCCCTAATATCCCTGGGCTGCACTGCCGGTAGCTACGCCACTGGGTTTACTGTTGTTTTTACTATACAGAAGTACAGCTTTAAGATACAAAAAGTGCAATGTCGAATGGACATGCCATACATAACTGCTCCCTGGTCAGGAACTGCTGAAGCACCCATCACTAATATTTAAATAGGGAAGCTTAGAATCTAAGCTTAGAATAATGCAGCATTTATTTAGAAAATTATAGAGCTACTCAATAGCTTCAAAATAAAAATAAAAACCAACTCAATAGGTGCTATACTTACCGAAATATGGTCGGTTATACATGCAAGATATTGCTAATTAGCTCAAAATTTGTTAGCATGTATCTCACTAATTAAGAGGCTTACAGAAAAAAAATGTTCATTTCTGATTTTTTCTTATGAGTCTCAACCACATACGAAAATTTGAAAAAAAAAATCCGCGGGATTGATGTTTTTTTTTTGGGGTTGACATGTAATTATCCAATAGCGAGGGTGATGTGGAAATTCATTAATATAGCACACTACATGATCCGATCCTGCATAGGTCAGTGCATTTTTAGTTCATCTATCTTAAGTAACATCATGCATTTTACCCATTATTTTTTAATAATTGAAAAGAAGAATTCTTTATAAATTCTTTATAATTCTTAAAAAGAAAAACCACTTTGTTTTGGTTTTTCGGCAGGCTTAAATATTAATAGAAGGCGCTGTTGACCAGGGGTTTAGCAAGAAAAACGAAATAGGCTGTCCAATATGGAAGCCAGTTGGCATGGCCCTGAGCTGATGGGTGGGCCAAGCCCACGCCCCCTTCCCAAACTTAAGAAAAAACAGAAAATTATGATCTTCAGAGGGCATTTAAAGGTGTTTAAATGTTGGAATTTTGTCTTCAAATGAATAGTGCTGAATTAGCGATCACAAAGATATTTTAGTTATAGACACATAGACTATTTGATGGAGTTGAGAAACTAAATCTAGGCACTAACTGCGTCGTACAACAATTTCAACTCCGCTCCCCATGAGCGATTGACAAGGCAACGCCATATATTTATTTTCTCTTAAAAACAGGCTTGGAAAGACCCGGAGAAAATTGCATTAAAGCCACTAACATAGAGGCCAAATCCAAGATGGCCACCAAAATGGCTGTCACATAAATCGCATGGGTCAATGATTCATATTGGGAACATAAACACTGTCTACTAGATGAATTTCATGAAGTTCATTTGACTTTGTTCAAGTTAAAAAATTATACTCATTATTGATTTTTGTGGAAAATCCAAGATGACTGCCAAACTGGCCACCAAATGACACTGTAGTACAATTCATGGCTACAATGCTCCCAAGACATACATTTGAATGCATGTTTTTAAAAACATTTTCCCCAAAACATTTTCCATGCATGTATAGAATAGAAAGTACTGTTTGTGGTCATTTCTTATGAGCCCTAATCATTACCTAAAATTTATAGAAAATCTGAGAATTTAGGGAAACAACAATAGCGACGTCCCATTAATTACTTTAAAACTAGTTTAGGTCTATCAGAGAAAATATTGATATTCATTTATGGGTATTCAAGTAAAGGGCTATAAAGACCACACATTTGAAAACCAGGGTTTGCTTCAGTGGTAGTAGATCTGTACTAATAATGAACTAATGGAAATTAATTACGTACAGCTTGACAATGACATCACAGGCAAGTTCTCTATATGGACCGGAAGTAGTTGCTGCATAGAGTAGAATATTAAGGGGTATTCATAAATTGAAAAATTTGTAGAACTAGTTGAGGTGTCAGTTTCCACTACCCAGGCCTAGCTTTCTTCTGCAATCGAACGCCTAGGCTGATGAGGGCAGCCAGGCACGAACCTACAATGCAGCAGGGTGGTCAACAGTGCTAGACTAGCGAAATTTACTTTTGATAAAAACCAAAGTATTGTTATCTCTAGCATTCTCCCATTAAAAAAAAATATTGATTTAATTCTTATCTAAACATCTGTATAATAGACCTTTCTATCATTTTCATTCTAGGTTTAGATCGTGGATTTGATTGTTTACATGTACTTTGCTACCATGATGTCAATAAGTTGTTGACTTCAACCAACTTTTTTATTTCATCATGATAACATGTGTGCTCATTCTGACGACTCGCATTGTTAGTTCTGGTTACAATCACACTAATGTAGCTTGATTATTATAGAAGAAATGGAAAAATAAACTACTAAATAAATACAACAAAACCTGATTTTATTAAGAAATATGAATCATTATAATTATATACTGTATACTCGCGTATAAAAATAGAATATTACGATCAAAAAACAGGGGGTTGTATTACACGCACAACATACATATTTTAGATTTTTGAAAATCATGTTCATCTTATGTGCGGATCATCCATAACAGGCGAATTTACTACTGTAATGAAGCTCCTATAGTGTTAGTATGAATAAACGCAATCTTAAATACGGGGAATTAATATTTTGATGAACATTTAAAAATCTCATAAAATAGTATCATTTGAGAGATTAGTGCTGCATTTGACTCAGTTTGTAGCCAGCTAGATGCAGTATCAAGATCACAAAAAAAGCAGCAAAAATTAGGCCTAAGCCAGAGGTGGGCATACAAATTGGTCAGTGGGCCAAAGTTAATTTTGGATTTAACTCCCTAACCTATCTAGCGACGGTGTTACAATGATTATCAATAAAAAAACATGGATTTATTTTGGAGACCGAAGTATTGGTAAATGTTATAGTAGGAATCTTCCAACATTTGTTATTGTACAGTATTGTGTTCTTCTGGTGCACTCACCAGGCCTAGGCTATAAATAGGTTAAGACTTGGCCTAGGCCTACTGTAGTTTACAACGTTTAACGATGCGAAATGTAGCCTATTATTATTATTATTATATATTATTACTCTATACAGCCTAGCTGAGGCACCATAGGCCCATTCTGCAGCAGCAGGTTCTGATTTGCAGCATTATTAATTTCAATTTCATATTAAATATTCACAATAATTATATCTTTTTACTTCAATAGATCGACCTATGACTACGAAAAATACAGTGCCAGTGCATGTCAACAACCGCACACAGAGACCTGGATCGACGACGATGGCCTTGTATGCAAGCTTGCTTGTTCGATTTTGATCCATCGTATTAATATAACCAAACAGTGTCATTTACATTTCAACCGGGTAGACAATATTATTATTAGTATGAATATCTATACAATACAATATTAATATTTAATTAACTACTATTTAATCATTTCACTTTATTGAAAAATACACATAAAATGGGTCACAATTCTTGCCCAAACACCAAACAAATTGTATATGAGAGTCTATCATTTAAAAGGATTAAAATACTATAATACGACATTAAATATAGAAAAATATAAATGCAAAAAATATTATAATAAATGTATATCTCTAAAAGTAAAAACTTTTGACATACAAAACGTCATCTAAACTGATACTGTCAAAATTTCAATGACCCGACTGGAGAAACTCAGACTTTTTGGTGATCCGCTCTCGAGTAGTAATGGTCAGCTTTTCAACGAGCTCAGTCATGCATGACGTCATCTACGCGCAATTTTGCGTTTTTACATTATCAGTCATATCAGCCTAACCAACTAACAGTGAAAATATGCTAAAATCAGGCCTATTTTTAATCAGTTATAGCTCCTTAGGATGAAAGGTGACCCCCAATTTTTATTACATATTCTGAAAGCACACAAGTTGTAAATTTGAATTTATAGATCATAATGGCTGATCGGACATTGTGACGTCATCATATTGGCATCTGAATTCAAAGAAAGTGAATTATAGCTATGACGTCATTTGAGCGTATCTCGCTTATCCTTGATCGATCGTCTTCCAACTTTGAATATGTTATAGCTGAGACAATTCTCTTTTATATATTCTTTTTAACATTTTGATGACATCATCATGGTCATGGTTTTTTCTGACCCACCACAACTTTCTTTCCTCAAAACGTTGATGAACCCATATCATCTTAACCATTCGACATTACTGAATCATATTAAGTGAGCCTAATCTTCAGGTCAATGTTGAATGTCAGGTACCTTAATTTTCCGTTCGCGCGAATTAACGTGCACGTACGCGTGCGTCAACAATTATGTATACTTAAAATTATGCCTACTTTTAAACAGTTATAGCTCCTTAGGATGAAACTTAACCCCTAATTTTTATTACATATTCTGAAAGCACATGAATTGTAGATATGATTTTATAGATCATTATGGCTGATCGGACATTGTGAAGTCATCATATTGCTATCTAATTTTTAAAAAACTGAAATTTTATTTATGACGTCATTATTTTTCAACTTATTTGAACGTATCTTGCTTATTCTTGATCGATTGTCTTCCACATGTGAGTATGTTATAGCTGAGACAATTCTCTTTCAGAAGTGTCCCTTTATTTTTCATTTTGATGACGTCATCATGGTAAAAAAGAATGCTTTTTTGGAGCCTTCTCATATTTTTTTCTTAAAAGATTAAACAATTTTAAAATAGAGGGCGGCAGACTGTATTTCGATGCTATCAGACCGATACTCTAAAAGGAAAATTCGTGTGGCATTACCAATCAACAGGGTGTTTTAAATTAAACTTGACAAGGTTTAAATTCATGTGCCATTACCGTCCTCGGGCACGTCTTATAAGGTATTCGTACTTGTGCGTTAACATTTTAAAATTGTAATTATCACTTTTCAGATAATTTAAAGGACGTTTCAGGTATTTTCAGTATTCCAAAACTTTCCATAATTTACGCGCCGTACGCTGATTCTGTGTACACTGCAATACACAGACCTAGCCTAGGCCTAAATGCCTCCACACGGCTGTTATTCCTGAATATTATAATGTTTAATCCCTTTAAATAATTAAGTAAATTTGTACTTGGCTATGGGCATTTTTTAACTGAAGATTTGATTGTATTGTAAACACAACGGAAAATGACATTGCCTAGAGCGGGGCGCAATAATGTAGGATTGATCGGAAGACAAGGTCTAGCAGGCCTATATCCTTTGCGGCACTAAGCTTAAAATTAGGCCTAGATGTATAATTAGTAGATATATTCGAGGAGATATATGGGTGAGTCACTTTGGTTTTTTCTTGTTTCTGTTTTTTCTTTTATTATTGAGTGGAGTATCCAGACTGCTCACATGGTACGCGACAACCTCATATTATTCATCGTCAAAAACAGAATAGGCCTGGGCTATCCAACACGGATTCCTACAACTCGGCTGCAATCCAACTACCGACCATAACAAATCTTGAATTAATCACCTTATATCTATTATGTAAGTTCGTAATAAACAAACGATTATTTTGTATAAGAAACTGTCAATACAAAAATTTGCGTTCTGAATTCTGAATAAACAGTTTCTGAGCTTTCAACGATGTGAACAGTTTGAACGACAACGCCCAGTCAACGAAAACTTCAATGCGTTGTTAACGAAAACGCAATGGGTTGAATGCGTTGGATTTTTGCAATAATACTGTTCAGTACTGTATCCATTAAATGGTTCTGATTAGATTATGTAAGCAATACGATTTATAATTTTATAATTCTTGTGGTTATAGGTTTAGTTTTTTGTTGGTTTTATTTAATAAAAAGCAAATATCACTTAAAGATATTTAATGTTTATATGATTATAAATTATTATGATTCATGCTGCCTACAATTTGAGTAACAAATGGTACGGAAAATTTCAGATATTGTGGATGAACATGTGGAACATGAGAACTGTTTTAGTACATATGTAATATACCCTTCAAGATGGTAGACTTGCTATGCAATGATTAGAATAACGAAGATACACAATACTACAGATATGCGGATAAAATACCTTTTTCAGAGTCACTAGAAGAGGATCCACAACTGCCAGTACTATCCTGCCTCGGTTTTCTTATAAGTGATTCACTGTCATTAAATTTACCAATTCTCTTCATCAAATGGTTCTGTTTCTGCTTTAGCTGCTCTTTTGCTGAGATAAGATATTTGTCCTCTTCTTCTAAATCCTGTTAAAAACAAAGATTGCAGAATGTACAGCCATAATTTAACTAGAAAAAGTTTCAGAATTATTATGTAGTGTAAATATACAATTTTAAGAATACATAGTACTTATTATTTTGATTTATCATTTGACAGAGGGCCAATTCCTTAAATTACACAGTACAGTACCTTGTAATGTCTTCGGGGATGCTAATAAAAGCACAGTAATTATGAAAAAGTACCTAATTTCAGAGTTAACATACCTAAAATTTGGGGGATAAAATCATGAATACACTTACAGTAGTGCTATTAAAATCATAATACTGTACTGCATTATTAGAAAGCATGTGTCCAAGGTGAACTATTCGTTAACCGTTTGAACAATGGTGTCATCAATGCAGGGTGCAAAAATAACGCTCGCCAATGCGAGTGAAATAAAAATTGGCGAGTGATATTCCATTCCCACTCAGCCATGAAAAATCCTACCAAAAAAAAAAAAAAAAAAGTCCCGCTCGAATTGTAACTGATATTAGCATGCATACAACACGTCATATTACACTATGTTACTATACTACAGTATACTACTTACTCCTAAAAAATTCCCATCATGTACACCGCAGCGAAAATCGTCTAGGTTAGGTCCAGGCTGGCCCCAGGCTGGCCCAAATAATTAGCCTAGGTTTGCTGGCCTAGTATTTGTAATTATACTCACTACAGTGCTGTACTGGAATTCAAGCAATGGATTTTCATATTACGTTCATTTATAAACAATGTTGAAAACACAATATTCCAATTTGAACCTACTTCTCTCAATACAATAAAAAATTCTTAACTAAAATGATTGTTGAAACCCACACTCTCGAAAATTTAACATCGTATAAATGGCTGTCTAGGCAAGAAATGGGGATTTCCCTAGGTAGGTACATTGTTTTGTTGTATGTTTTAAAAAATTTAAAATTTCTACGATAAATTATTTGAGCCCACCATGCAAAATTATGAAAAATGCAATGTGTTTGTAGGCCTAATAATAATGTTTCATTGTACTTCTATATAGGGATTGAGAAGAAGACGAAAAAGAATGCTAGCTTTGTTTGGTGTGCATTACGGTAGAATATACCTAAGCCAGCCAGGCACCCTCAACATTGAGCAAAGCTTTCCAGGCTTTCTTATATTTTCTAAACATGAAAAATTTACTCATTTTTTATTTATGAAGTGTTTGATTCTAGGACTAGGCCCCAGGCCTACTAAATTCTAGTTGCCTTAGAAACCAACTACCCAACAAAATATTTCGCATGGCCATGATAGGTTATTAATTTTCGTGTTCAGAGCTTTTTCGGATAAATTATCCCCGGGAAACACGCCCAAACCAGAAGAATACATTCATTTCCATGTTTGTTGTTAATCGGCCGATAAAGATGGAATTTCTTTATTTTAATTGTACTCAAACAAGGGGTTTTTAGCCAGAAAAACGAAATAGGCCGTCCAAAATGGAAGCCAGTGGGCTTGGCACTCAGTGGATAGGTGGGCCACGCCCCTTCCCAAATATGTATAAAAAAAATAGGAAATTATGATCTTTAGAGGGCATTTAAAGGTGTTTAAATGTTGGAATTTTGTCTTCAAAGGAATGTCACAAAGATATTTCAGTTATAGACATAGATTGCACATGGCTACGGTTCTCGCATAAAGTTTCTAGGCTATGCAGATGCATTCATCTCTCTCCTTAGTCTAGTGTAAATTCTACTCTAGATCCTCCAAATCGAGAGATAGGCCTAGACCTACTAATAATATTTGTTACGTTAACAACAAACCTTCTTTACGGTATTAATTGTAACCTGAGAGTTACAAACACCAACAATATTATGTCGTTGACATAATCTCAAGTATTGTACAGTATTTGCAGAGAGCCACTCAAAACCGTCCATTTTCCAGCAGGGTATAAATGTTTTTAACACGACGCATTTTGTAAGTGAACTTTTCACCAGGTAGCAATGGTTAAGCCTTACATTTTTGGGAATCCCCTCCGAATATTGGTACAAAAACAACGTACATTAAATCAATAAATGTTTTTATCAAATGTAAATATGATTTAGCTTTAGTTTAAAGTAACATTCGATAGATTTGAAGAATATAAAGAATTTGCTAAAGATAGACCAGGCCCAATTAGGCTAGGCCAAGCTGATTAGGCCAAGCTGTCCTAAATAATTGTAGGCCGTCCAAAAGACGGTCGGACGGCTCGCTGGCTAAGCCTATGACTTAAACACTTGTGTAAGTGCAATCAAAATACAAGACAATACTGTAGGCTATCTAGAGGGTGCACTGAGTAAAGCAATTTACTGCTGACAATGACAGCAACGATGGCAACAACATATAAGAACACTGGTTAAAAAAGTCTCCTCGAAGCTTTGATTATTTGGGGAGGCTAATTATCCTCCAATGCCACCACCACAGTAAAACATGTGTTCCCAAATTATAATGACCATTACTAATTAAATTAGTCATCTACCCCATCTTTCCTGAGACAATTGCATCAGTACTAATCAGTGTGCTCCTCAACATTGTTTTATATTAAAGTTTATTTGTGCATATTTCACTTTTGTCTCCTGGGGTGGGGGGAGATTATCCACAGCCCCTATTTACACCACACTGCGAAGTCCCTTTTGAGCAAACTCCTGATTAATCAACTCCAACTTGCATTAAATATGGACTATGTACTTACGTGAATAAATGCCTTGGCATTAGTTAGAAGACCTAAAGTAGTGTGTCTTGATGATTCTGATTGCAGTGGAACAATTTCTTTCAGTTTTTCAAGACATGTTCGCAAATGTGCTCGCCTAAATTTAGAAAAAATAAGAAGAAAGAAGCAGTGTTTAAATATGAAATTATATGTGTCAGCTCCTGTTTTGATGTCCAAGAACTGAATGTCACACTACATAGATGATATTTTGACTTGCAGGACTATATCCAGGAGAAAAAAATTGGACCAACTAGGGTATCGTGTTTGCCAATCCCCAGTGGGATCAAGGGGACTGTTAGATTGATGAGGCCATTTTAGGACAATCAAAATCAAGTAAAATTGAAACACCTGACATTTCAATATACTATTGAAGATCACTGTAATGGCATACTGTACACTAGAATTAGATGTGTACAGATTTGCTTTCTTGTCAGTAGGAATAAATTACATACATGTTTAGCCAAACATTTACACTTGCAAGTTTTATTACATTAAAACTCAAAAAATTACAATTAAGACCCTATTTTAAACAGTCTCTGCACATATGTGACATTTACTTTGAACCCTCAATATAGTGTATTGGTGAAAAAGCTCTTGGAGATGTACACATTCTGTTTACAGTAGGCTAGAATTGAACTGCAGGAACAATCCTAATCTTATGTAATTAGTCATGTTTGTTGAATGTGAAAACAATTATTAATGGGCAAGTAGAATCATCATCTACAGTACGTGTGAATTTGGTAAATCTTCAGAAATTTTACTTCTCAGAATTGGGATAACTCTCTTACTTTAAGCCAAGCACAATTAAAAAAAAAAAACTTTCATAGCAGATGAACTGTTTTGATTTTGCAGCATACATTGTCTAAAGACATAACAGCATGTTGCAATAGGATATGAATGCTGTTATTTTTCAGTTCCTTAATTTTTCATTGATCACAAAATAAATACAGTAATAATGATCTTTAATGATGAATTACAGTAAATGGCTTTGTAATACTTTTAAAACAAACTGCAGCAATGTTTTACAATGTGATTGAATAATATACTAAATTATATTAGTGGTAGGCTATACAACCTGGTAAAAAAAATGGGTGATAACAGCCCTCAAAATTAACGCCGGCATTCGGCAATGCTGACGTAAAAATCGCTGACGTGAAGATTACAGGCCTAGCCCAAGTTAACGCAGGCCTACACTGGTACTACCAGTACCAGTGGTGGAAGACTCGGCAGGGATCGCCGTGAACACAATATTAAACCTTATTCTTAATAAAAGCTATTATTTAATGTCTTTTATGTTGTATTATGAGTAAAATGTGAATAAAATCAAACTGGATTGTGTGTTTCACGCTTTTATATTGTTTTTACATGCACTTTCGGTCTGACATTTTTCAAACACACCTCATTCTTCGTGTAAACATATAACTCTGCTCGCTAATTGGTTAATTTGTTTCGTGGGGTCATGGATGGGCAAACATGTGCTTGGCTGTGATGACGTCAGATCGCCCAAAGTTTCATAGTGTGCGACGGCTGGCAGCTCAGTGTAAATCAATTTTTAATTAAACAAATTTTTATTAAAACAAATAAGAAACCCTCATGATTTTGTTTTACAGTCAAATCTAAATAAATCTTAAAAATGTAAATTTCATTCTCTACAAATTTCCTCCGTAATTAGCAACATCCTTTTGAGGAATGAGTGAAGCTATGCATTTGTAATTTACACTGATAAATCTACTACGACATCCAACAAATCCGAATTAAACATCTACTGAAAAAGAGTCAGCCATCATAGAAACTTGCTTAGAGTTCCGTCTTCATTTCAGGTTGATTGCAATCAATATTTAAAGGATTAAGCCAGAAGGCGATAATGCACTTTATAAACAATGGAAGGCGTAACTTTCATTTTATCTAACATTAACATTTAGGTTTTGTTATTATTATTATTAGGCCTACTGGTGTGTCGTTTTAATCAATAGATAATCTCTATGGCTGAGCTAGCTGTACGACAATTCATTCACAGGGTGTTGTGTGCTAGGCCTGTTAATTAACAGACAGCGATGATTATTGAGTTATTTTCGTTGGAAAAAGTTGATTTTTATTAAATTTGTTCCGGGCCGAATAAAATGTCCAGAATTCGGAATAGGGAGGTCCAGTTTTCAGAAAGTATTTTATTAAAGGAAGAATAGGAATGGTTTTGGGACTTGAAAGAAGAAAGTTTGGTTTAGCGTGGAATTCTGCTTTCTGGGCATTCGGAATTCGGATATTCCACTGTATGTTTTTTTTTGTAGTTTCATTTTATTCATCATCATAACATTAACACTGTTCAACATTTTATCAATAATTAGTTGTGAATTTGAACATCAGGTACGTAGGCTAGGCTTTCCAGCTTGATTGGGTGACTTGAAAAGACATCCATCACTGCTATAACAGGTCAGCATCGGTCGATTTGAGGGCTGTAGCTGAAACTAAAAACTGCCGACGTTATAACCGGCGTCAATTTTATAGCGCCAGTGATTTAAAAATTTTTTTAGCCGACATACTTTTTTCCTAATTTCGAGGGCTGGAGTTCAAATACCAAATGTACCGGTCTTAAATGAAGTGGTTTATTGTGGATTTTTTGCCTTATTGTGCTAAAAAAGCTTACTGCAGATGGTGCTTGTTTCTCATAATTTATTCTATCTGTGTGGCATAACCACTGGCATAATTGTTGCTCGCCCTATGTCAAAATAAAGAGAAGATGATTCTTTACCCTGGAAACATATGTCAGATGTGGCATTGTTGCAAGTGCGACATATTTCTTAAATTTATCACTTCTAGGGCAATCATATAAAGTACACTATCTAGCTTGTGCATACGTCCTTATTGAGATTATTGATATGAAACACAATCAAACAGTTGATTTTGCTGTGCTAAACTCCATCAGCTCAAAACAATTTTTGAATACCATTCCGAGGCAAACCATGTACCTTCATCGTAGTACGTTGTTTTGCCTCGTAATCCTGCAGTTACGTTACCAGGGAAAATCACTAGATCTTAAGGCCAACTCAGACAGCGTCGTACGACGCAGCCCAACGTGACAACAAATCCCGTCGGGCTGTGTGATTTAAACGCAGACGCGATGGTGTGCGTCGGGGGCAGTCGCGTCGTAGAATATTAAACATGTTTAATATTTCTCACGACGGCTTAAGACTGTCCCCGACGATAAATCGGGTCGGGCTGCGTCGGCTGACGCTGTCTGAGTTGGCCTTTAAGTTTTGTGTTATAGATAGGTGGTGCAATCTCTGAAATGACTCATTAATGAGAACTGAAATTTTCACAGGTAATTCAGAAGTGTTTAATATACTCCCAAATGATATTATCTCAACATTGACAAAAATGTCAGTTACATTGTTTTGCCGCGGGATGGCCATCTGGCACAGAAAGGTTGCATAACACTGCATTAAAATGTTTTGTAAATTAAAATACATCAAGTGTGGAAATGGTCATTGCTACAATTATTAAGGATAGAAAAAAAAAAAAAAGTGGTCCTAATTTTTATCCTATAGGGATTTGTACTTTTACCGCAACACAAAAATAAAATCTAATATTTTATAATTAATTTTTAAAACACTAATCATTTCCTTGGCCTCAAAAACATATAGGCACCAGTATCACCATAATATGTCAAAATGATCAGGATAATTGACCACTTCATTTAAGACCAGTACATTTGGTATTTGAAATATCACCGATTCATAGCCCACCACTAATTATATTGATAAAATTTGTCAAGTAACCTACACAAGTATTGCTCAACTAACAATATGAGATTAGGATTACCACCAAAATACAACTAACTATTCATTTACAGACAATTGATCAAAAACCACATTTATTTCTGCAATCACCCAAGCAAATGCAACAGAATGACTCATTGCATGTATTATTCATGACTCAAGGTCAGCAAACATGTAACAGCCAAAGTTGTAGCACACTTCAATTGTTATTTCCTTACCTGTTCTTCTCCAATTCATTATGAGTTGAACGGCTGTTTAAAAAAAAAACACAAAATTTAATACATTATGCAGTAGTATGCAATAGAAATTGGTAGGTGTATAACTAGGTGTAACTACGGGCCCGTTCGAGCGAAAAAATATCCGTGCGATTTACCAGTTAATTCACCGGTACACACTTTCTAAAACCGCTCGGACACTAGTCTAATTACCTTTCCATCTGGATTATCCGCGACAATTTTGACCACCAAATTGCTGGGTAGAATACCGTGTATGGAATGACCATGGAGCCGGAGGCGATGATAAATCAACCTTAATTGTTTTTCCAAAAGTTTTGCCCACAACCTAGCGCCAAATTCAATAGGTTTAACCGGTCCATGGTTTAACGGCCCAGGCGTAGTTGCAGCTCTCCTTCGCCTCCACACAAATGCACGACGAAGTCTAAATTTAGTAGCATATAGCTAAGCTACGCGATTGATTTGTAGATTTACCATTATTCGGAGAAATAAACTTGAATAAACTAGCCTACGTACAGATTTTAAAGCAGCC